CACAAGTTATTGCAGAACTAAGGAGTCTTAGATGCTCAAGTGCAAGAAAACAAGTTTAAATATCTACAGCAAAATTCATAAGTCATTGAGAGTGATGCAAGAGTTCCTTTCACGAACAGAAATTCTGATCTTTGTATTTTAAAAATATGATGCAGTAACCAAAATTTGTAACACTAATTTACAAATGAAAAATATTTAAGCTCCCTCTCCTTCTCTTTCACACACACAATCACACACATGTTCAAGACACGAACATACAAATCCACCATATATAGTATCAAATAAAAGTTGCATTTACCTGTTCTTCACCACAAATACTACCCGTGTCTGTATAGGTATTATCCTTTCTTGAAGTATTTCTTAAATGTGCAGACACACATACTTGACCTCCCAGGTAGGTATACTGCATATCATAATCTTTCATTGGTATTACTTCTGACCTCATCCAGTGACAAACTACTTTTCCACAAAGGACATGCCTGGCAATATAAGGCAGAAAAAATTTACTATTTGTCACTTAGATACACAGTATATTATGTAGGCAACAATTCAAAATATGCGTATAATTAGAAATATTACTCAGAGTATAACACCAAAGCTACTCAGAACATGAACCATCTTATAAAGTACAGCATATAAATCCATCTGTATATACTCGATTTATCTCTCATTTGTATTAAGGGACTCTTTGTAGTACACATACAGCACATACCCATGCATTTGGAAAATGTATAATTTCTTAAAAACATACCTAAAATTACAGGACCTAATACAGTTTCCATAGTTGTCACCTTGAGAATTTATTTCCTGTGTACACAGATAAGAAGCACTCCTAGAAACTGAAAACATAAATAATAAGTTCCAATAACCCATATTAAAAAAATCATTAAAAAGTAATCAATACAGAGACATTTAGACAACACAGTCAGTGTCATTTACTACAAATTTTTGGTGTCATCTAATGGCTATACAAGAAGTAGAAACAGATACTAAAATCCACCCACTTGAGAACAGAAAAAACTTTTATTGAAGTGCAGAAGTGCTTGAGAAACCAAGCCATTATTTTCTCTTTAGTCTACTTTTTTACTAGTCTACTATTTTTTCCACCTGTATTAGTTCATTTCTGTTCATAACAGAATACCTGAAACTGGGTAATTAGTAAATAAATAAATTTCTCACAATATTGAAGGATGGGTCCAGGGAACACATCTGGTAAGGGCCTTCTTCTGGGCAGGAACTCTCTACAGTCTTGTGGTGACCAGAGTGTCACATGACAAGAATGGGCCAAGCCAGAGACAAACCTTTTCACTCACTTTCCTTGTAAAGCCATCAGAACCACTCCCATTATTCTGTAAATTGATCAATCCACTCTCAGGGCATGGTCCTCACAATCTAATCACCACAAAAAGTCCCCACCTTTGCTATAATTGGATCTCCCACCCTCTTAACTCAATGGGGTCAAGTTTCTAATATATGAACTTCTGGGGGACACATGTAACCCACAGCACCACCAATCACCTAAAATTTGACTAATGTCCTATTAGTTTTGTCCTGTAGTTATTAGGTTCTTTTTACCTCTTCACATAATTCAAAGTTGCTTTGATTTGCAATTTTATTTTTTAATTTGGATGTCAAACCACATATTCTAGTATGGCTACCGGGTGGGTTACTGACTTTAGAATAATTATACTTTTAAAATGAATTCCAGAAAAAAGATACAACTATTACATTTTCCAAATAACTCTACACATTGTCTATCCCGATCTCGGCATATTCCATCATAGCAATAGGTGGTGGAATTATTGCATGGTTCTAAATTAGCAGCCTTCACATCAGGCACACAATACTCAGTTGTTGAAGGATGGGTCCAGGGAACACATCTGGTAAGGGCCTTCTTCTGGGCAGGAACTCTCTACAGTCTTGTGGTGACCAGAGTGTCACATGACAAGAATGGGCCAAGCCAGATTCAAACCTTTTCACTCACTTTCCTTGTAAAGCCATCAGAACCACTCCCATTATTCTGTGAATTGATCAACCCACTCTCAGGGCATGGTCCTCACAATCTAATCACCACATAAAGGCCCCACCTGTCTAATGCTATAATTGGATCTCCCACCCTCTTAACTCAATGGGGTCAAGTTTCTAATATATGAACTTCTGGGGGACACATGTAACACACAGCACCACCAATCACCTAAAATTTGACTAATGTCCTATTAGTTTTGTCCTGTAGTTATTAGTTTCTTTTTACCTCTTCACATAATTCAAAGTTGCTTTGATTTGCGATTTTATTTTTAAATTTGGATGTCAAACCACATATTCTAGTATGGCTACCGGGATGTCAAACCACATATTCTAGTATGGCTATCGGGTGGGTTACTGACTTTAGAATGACTATAGTTTTAAAATGAATTCCAGAAAAAAGATACAACTATTACATTTTCCAAATAACTCTACACATTGTCTATCCCGATCTCGGCATATTCCATCATAGCAATAGGTGGTGGAATTATTGCATGGTTCTAAATTAGCAGCCTTCACATCAGGCACACAATACTCAGTTGTTCCGTTGCAATATTCTGGAAAATCACACGGATCATTGCTTTTTCTACATTAATGTCCTCTTTGGACCACCTGTGAGACAATAAAAAACAAATATATGTATTTGTCAGTGTCAGGCAGATTTTCTTCACTAGCCAGGGCTGAGATGGATGTTGGGAAAGAGAGGGTCCCTCTACTCTTCTGAAATATTGTACATTAGGGACTGGAAAAGCAAGAACCTTCAATGTCCTACCTATATCATATATAAAGAATGCTTGTTTGAGAATTGTCAGCAAAAAAGCAAGAATATCCAAGAGACGCATGGAATAAGAATCCTGTTGTTACAGTTGGAAACAAAGATTCACCTGAGCATGTATTCATTTGTTTTTCTTTACTTGGCCATTCATCATCAAGATAAAACTGACCAGTATATAATCCATATTATGTGCTATCAATTTTTTGATTACCTGTAGAAATATCTAAATACTGGTTAGAAACACGTTAATCACTGTTAAGTGTTAGCAAAACAGCTGGTTGAACTATTGTCTCTAATATCTTTGCACTTGGAGTTGTGTCTACCTAAGCTGATAATTATGAAAAACATAATTGAATCAGATCTCAAATTTTAGACAAGCTTCAGTGAAAACTGGCCTAT